GGAAGAACTGTGGATGACAGTAAGTTCTTGATTTGGATCAATGTCTTATTTTAGACCAAAGCCTCCCGGTCCCAGGTCCAGATAAACACATACAAAATCACTCTCACATGAATGGTAGCAATTAAAAATACTGTTAGATACTACTCATTCAACACAAACCCTTTGCTCTTCTTTGTTTTTAAGATATATTCACATATTTATACATCCATATTTTTTTTAATATAGCTATACACACCATCCAAATCAGTAGGAAATTTATTTTGCTTTGTAACATTCAAAAGACTAACAAGAAGTAGAACATCCAGTGTTCCTTGATTTAGGGGATCTGAGTTCTCCCATATTGTTGCCTTTCTCCAGCTTGTTGTGTTTTACTCCAGCCACATCACTCAACTGACTTCTTGGCCAATGCAATCCAAGCTCCTTTTCTTACTCTTTTTCTTGGGGTCATTTTCCCCATAACTTCCCAGTCTGCTGCTGTCACCACCTATTTTCTTCCACCTATAGACATCTGAACTGCATCATTCATTCACAGACTTGGGGAAAAAAAATAGGTCAGATCCTGTGGTCTGACCTAATTATGTCAAGTACTGAATTTCAGGGAAGGCTCTCTCCCTGGGCTCCACAGCAGCCCTGGGCTCCACAGCAGCCCTGGCTGGAGCACGTCTGGCCGTGCTGGGAGGAGCAGAGCCCACCTGCTCACCTTCCTGATGAGGTCTGCCCAGTTCACCTCCTAATGACCTAAACATGCAGAGGGTGTACCAAAAAAACAGTCAGCGAGTGACTACCACTCACCTCCCCCCGGGACGTTCCTATGGGATACTTACAGTGTGTTCCACATATTCTTTTCCTGCCTGTATCACATCCAAGGCCCTCTTCTTCTGCTCCTGATCCAGCAGCAACTTGTACGCTTTATCTACAGCTAAGAAAAGCATCCACATGAGCAGCAGCAGCACTCCTGTTCACAAGGCATCACAACATTGCTACTTGTTGACCATACGAATTCTGCTTCCTAGAATTTGAGGGGTGTGTTTAATTGGGTTTTGTTTTGGTTTTAATACATCTAGGTAAGTGATATCACAATTAGTCAAATGAGATTTGGGGTAATGGCAGAAACTGTCAGGCACATATTTGGAGTTAGCAGGGTGAATGTACCAGTCCTACCAAGCTCTAGGAGATGAGGTTAAGTTTAAGGTGTGTAACACCTTCACCATAATACATAATACCCTAAACCTCTCACACTAGTTCTGTTATGCAGGCTTTCATTAAAACCTAACACACAGACTAAACGTTTTTTCTTGACCAACCAGGAAGCCCCAGGGACCTTTGTCCCCGTTGTGACCTGACAGTGGAGTTACTGCCACCTAGTGAGAAGTTCTGCTGAAATGCCACCCCACACATCTGCCTCTCCACCTGAAGTGCCTCTGCAGCAACTCTGTCAGTGGAGCCCCCACCCATACCAGACACTTAGAGCAGCTACAGAGAAGGAGCAGTGCCACAGCCCCCAGCCAGCAGCCCGGGAAGGGGGGAGAGCTTTACCTTCAAACGCCTTCTGGGCTCTGTCTGCGTCATCCTGGTTCTTGTCTGGATGCACCAATATTGACAACTGCAGGAGAAAGGACACTGCTCTCAAAACCATTGTAACAGATGAAGAATATTTCAGAGGCTTTTGTGAGACGAGGGAAATACTCTCAGACAGAAGGAATGAGGGGATCACTTTCCTTTGAATATGGCCAAACCAGCTGACAAGACATAGAAGCACAAATCAGTTCAATCTTACAAACCAAATACAACCCCTGTAATAAACAGGCTGTGGGAGAAAAGCTGCAGCTTAGGATGCACAGAGCAATGTCCATCTCCCTCAGCTGCAGTGCCCAGGGCTGAGAGGAACCCCTTGGTCACCCAAGTTTTGTATCTTTAGTCTTAGGAAGAAACAAACCTAGAAAGATCATCCTCAACCAAGGTCACCGTTTACTCAATAGTGTCTCCCAGGAAGTTCTCCAGTATCTCTCAGGCTGTTCAAATATCAAACTATTTTAAAGAGTGGGTTCTTCCTTAGGCTCCTTTACTGAAAGTTAAGAAAACCCTTTCCTGTACTCTCTCTCCAGCAGGGATGGTACATTAACCACTACCATCTTCAGGTCAACCTTAAATGGGCTGGCAAGCACACGTCCTCCCCCTTCCTCTCCCAGACAAAGAGAAAGTTCTTTCAAACTTTCCCCACAAGGCACTTTTCTTTCAGATGTCTTATTTTTTGCTGTTGCTGTGCAGACTCTCTAGTTTATCTGCATGCTTCCCATCATCACACTCAAAATAGTCACAGTGCAGCAACTGAAATGGCATCAGTGCCAAAGAATGCAAAACAACTACTTCCCACAGATGGCCCTTCCTAGTTCACAGGAAGCAGCTTTGCCTCCAGTCCTGAACAGCAGCACACTGCAGATGTACTCTGACTTACTACAGCCAGTGTGTTTTCCCTTCTGTTGTCTGTTCCATGTTCTGGGTGTGATTTCTTCAACACACAATTCCATGCACTTCTTTCATTTCATCACACTGACTTCAAAACATTTCCCTGTGGTATTCCACCAGCCTCAAGATGACAGCCCCAGACTTTTGATTCAAAGAACTGAGAATTCAGCAACACACTACAAGGTTACCCTCCCACGTCCACGGCAGCAGCAGCCCATGTCCCAGCCCCAACGTGTTCCTCTGTCAGCCAGCACCCTCCTGCCTTGACACCGTTCTGCTGGTGACCTCACTATTTCAGGCTGGAGGCTACAGCCCTCCAAACACTGTTTCTTTGCTGCACTGATTAAACTCAGATTTCTCCTGCAGATCTGCCAGTGGAGTAAGCCCAGGGTGCTGTTTCCTGGGTGGCACAGGGCAACACAGATGGGTCAGTGAGCAGGGCTGCTGCTGTTCCAGGCAACCTACTCCCCAAAACTGGCCACTGAAATGCTTTTAAAAATCTCATAGAATATACACTTCTGGATCCAAGTCCATATAGTTGAGAAAAAATACCTTTTCTCAGTCGTTCATTTTTGGTGAATTTTGACTTACTCTTTGAACTCAAGTTCAAAAAGCTGATTACACATGAGCAGTGGCCCCACCACACACTGCACACCCTGCATGGACCACGGACACTGCTGCAGCTCTCCTCTTGCTGATACAAAGACTGGTCTATGCATTTTTTCCCAAAGCAGCCACTCCTCTACCCAGACACAGCTTTAGCACCCCTTTTCCTGTTCCCAAGCACGGCTGCACAACTGAGATTCTTGCTTCTTTCCAGAGGCTTCAGGTGCAAAAGCCAAATACCTGCCGGAATCTTTTCTTTATCTCTTCATCTGTGGCTTCAGGATCCATCTGCAGTACCTAAAAGAGACCATGAGAGCAGAGCAAGTTTGGTGATAGTCCTGACACTTCAGGTTCCTGGCAGCAACCCCTAAACCCTTGGTTCACTGGCACAGAGACACAAGGTCAGAAACCCCTCCCTAGCAGGGAGCTGTGTGGGGACATCGGTTCTCACCTGGTAAAACAGGAACATTTTAAGAGCCATCATGTTTGGGACACTGTACTCTGAGCAGTGCTAGAATCCTCCGACTCTACCAGTCTCCTTCCCACACTCAGATCTCATGCAGACAGCTGCCACCCCTAAATAGCCACAACTGGTCTAAACCTTCACCCAGTCCCGTAGCAGTGCTTAGTTTGGCAGATACAGAAGCATACGGTGGCTTTGGGACACTGTCAGAGCATGCACAACTGAGAACTCTGGGCAGAAAACACACTACTTGCTCAGAATCTATTATCATTTTGAAAGCAGGTGGGAGAGTTTTACTCTTTGCTTTCCATGAACAAGCCAAGTTGTTTAATGATTTTTAGGGATGTGCCAGGATTGACCCCTCTGTTGTGACTCAATTTACTGACTAGAAGATCTAAGCAACAAGTGAGCCCACTCAGTGCAGACACATGCTGCTCTGACACCAGGAATCTGCAAATCAAACACTCTCATGGGAAAGCTACAGCCTGCTTCTGAACAGCTTTCTTCAATTCTCCCAGGGAAGTTCTGGGATCTACCCACAACTGGATGTTGTCAAGGTGGACCTGCTGACTGCCCTGAGCTGAGACTGCAAAAAGCACCTGAGGCTTTAAAAAGGCAGATGAAGATGGAAAGGGACACACACAGGGAAAGTCAGATCCAGATGAACACCAGAGTGTTTTATTTCCAGTACTCCTCAAGCTTTCACACTCCTTAACACTTTAGAGCTGGCTGCAGCTGGAGGCACACTGTGCCATGTGCAGGGAGTGACCCCTCTCCCCTGGCCCCTCAAAGACACGAGCAGGGAGGGTGCTCCTCTCCTTCCACACCCTGCACCTGGCTTTCCTCTGCAGGGACTTCCAGTGCTCCTGCACGAGGGGAATGCACCAAAAGAACAGTTTGCCTCTGCCATAAACAGTGAGAAAGGGAGCAAGCACATACACATCATCCTCCTGTCTCCTGTCAAGCTTCTGCACAGCCATCTACAGCCAGAGCATTTTTTTATATTTTTTATGTTCAGTCTTGTTGCTGAAACAAAGGCACAGTCAATCCAGAAGCTGTTATACCTAAGCCAGAAGGGAGGAGAGAATACCCAAACTAACCTCAAAGGGGTTCAGGTTGAAGTAGGAAGATCCAGGTCTGGTCAGCCTGTCAATTTGGTTTTTTGATGTTAAGACGGAATCTCGTTTCTCAATTTGCTTCACCTGGAGCAGAGGAGAGACCCACATTAACTGGCACCAGGGTGTGCCCAGCCCTCCTCCCACACGGGCACCTCCCCTCCCCACCCCACCCCACGCCCCTCACCCCAGCCTGCAGCTGCTTCCCTCAGGCAGCACAGCACATGTTTAGCCTCCTCTGCAGCACGACAGGATTTTTAACACTACATTTTAACAGTAAAAAACCCTAGAAAGCACCTCTGCCATCTCTCCTCCGGCCTGCTCGACACCTGTGGCTTTTGCCCTCCCTTTGCTCCTCCAACAGCACTGTCTGTGATCCCTTGGGCATTTTCACACTGCTGCTCTCCACCCACTGCTGGTGGGACAGCCCACTAACCACAGCAAGTGCCACTGGCACTCTGGTGACAGGTTATTTAGTTCCATCCAGTTTACTTTTTGTTTTTTACTGTATTAAGCCAAACCAATTCATGTCCTTACATCTAATGTTCACCTCTGTTTGAAGAAATGAGGACCCACCACAGCAGCACTGCCTTTCTGTGGGCAGGTGTGGGCAAACACAGCCAAGCTCTGCACAGAGCAACAGAGGCCAGCACAGGCCAAGGGCAAGTGGCCCCACACACCTTCACAAGCAACAGCTTAGCCACAAAAAGGCCAAGCAGCAAGGCACAGCAGAGAGATCACAGAATCATTAAGGTTGGAAAAGATCTCCAAGATCATCAAGTCCACCTGTCAACCCAACACCACCATGGCCACTAAACCATGTCACAGAGCAACATATCTGCATGTTCTTCCAACACCTCCAGGGATGGGGACTCCACCAGCTCCCTGGGCAGCCTGGGCCAAGGCTTCACCATTCTTTCAGGCAACAAGTTCTTCAAAATACCCAATCTAAACCTTCCCTGGCACAACTTGAGCCCGTTTGCTCTTGTCCTATCACTTGTCCCTTGGGAGAAGAGGCCAACCTCCACCTCACTCCAACCTCCTGTCAGGGAGCTGCAGAGAGCCAGAAAGTCTCCCCTGAGCCTCCTCTACTCTACACTAAACAGCCCCAGAGCCCTCACCAGCTTTTTTGTCTTTCTGTGGACTCACTCCAGCCCCTTAATGCCTTTTTTGTACTGGGGCACCCAAAACTGACCCAGTCCTCAAGCTGTGGCCTCCCCAGTGCTGAGTCCAGGGGCACGATCACTTCCCTGCTCCTGCTGGTCACACCATTCCTGACCCAGGCCAGGATGCTGGTGGCCTTCTTGGCCACCTGGGCACAGGCTGGCTCCTGTTCAGCCGGCTGCCCCCCAGCACCCCCAGCTCCTATTCTGCCAAGTACTTTTCCAGGACGTGTTCAGAGACCGCCCATCTCACGCAGGTTTGATGCGATGGAGGGAGCGACACGGGTGCTGAACGCTCGGCTCCTTCCCGCGGCCACAACGGCGGCGCCCCG